GGTGCAACAGATAATCTAAATAACTAAAACAAGGAAAACCACTAACGGAGGAAGCAGACCCCCATCTGATCCCCTTCCAGGATAGTCCATAATCCACTTGGAGGAGAATCCCAAATATGTAATCCTGGTGAAGTGGAGTGTCCCAGGGAGGCTAAAAAGTCGGCTGCGGAGTTACCCTCTCGTAAGGTGTGTTGCAATATGCACGCATCAAATCCCTGCATCAAGGTTTTAATTTCCAATAGGATAGCTGCAGTCAAGTTATCTGGTTCCCGGTTCTCATTAATAAGGCGAACAGAGATAAGAGAGTCCATTTCTGCAATAACACGAGAAAGTCCAAGGGATTGGCATAACCGAAGCCCATCTCTAAGACCCCAAAGTTCTGCTATGAGAATAGAGGTGCACCCCACATTAACTGTGAATCCTGAAACCCAGCTGCCAGAATTGTCTCTAATCAAGCCCCCAGCACTAGCAGAATTTCTAGCTGCACTGTAAGACCCATCAGAATTCAGCTTGTACCATCCTGCATCCGGTGGAATCCAACTTACCCATCTGTGCTGCCTAGATGGAACCCGAGAGATGGGGTTTAGTGCGATCATAGTATATTTTGCTTGTTGAAAAATCAAAGCACATAGCTCTTGTGGTCTCGATTGATGATTCCTGAAGATGAGAGCATTCCTGTCTTTCCAAAGGAGCCAAAGTGCAGATAAGAACAATAAAGCTCGTGGAATCCCTGCATGTATGCTCATACGTGAAGGAGTTGAAAACTTCTTAAGCCAAGAGAGTAACTCTGTGGTAAAAAAATCAGTTGTTGCAAAACCCAGCATCCCCCAAATAATTTGTGCATAGTAACAGTCCCGTAACAAATGAATAGGAGTTTCATCTGATAGATTACACCTGGGGCAAGTAGGAGAAGAAGACATGTGACGTGTAACTCGTATAGAATTTGTTAATAGTCTGCCATGTACGACGAGCCAAATGAAAATCCTAATTCTCTCAGCACATTGTAACTTCCAGATCCAGCGCCAAGAGTCAATCAAAGGATTAGCCAGATTTCGCTGGGCTTGAGTGAGTTGGTATGCCGATTTAACCGTGAAGGAGCCATCCATTGAGCCAGTCCAGAACATGCTGTCTTGCAGCTGAGCATTCTGAGTTAAAGGGATGGCTCTAATAACATCAACTGTTTCAGTAGGAAGAGTCAATCAAAGGATTAGCCAGATTCCGCTGGGCTTGAATGAGTTGGTATGCCGATTTAACCGTGAAGGAGCCATCCATTGAGCCAGTCCAG